AGTTTTTATGACGTCAAAGGGAACTCAAGTAAGTTAGACTTAAAACTCTGACTTTCTTTCAAAGATTAATTCTTTATACATTAAAAAGGTATATTGACATAATAGGTACTTTTGTTGAGGTATTTTCATTCAAATATTCAATCTTTACTCGTTAAAACACTCTTTGTGACGTTCAAGGTAACTTAAATCAGTTTAACTCAAATCTTTGATTTTCTTTCAAAGATTCAATCATTATACATTAAAAATGTCGAGTGACATAATAGGTATCTTGATTGAGGTATTTTCATTCAAAGATTCAATCTTAACTCATTAAAACACTTGTTGTGATTTCAAAGGGAAATCGAATATGTTTAACTCAAAACTCTCATTTTCTATCAAAGATTCAATCTTTATATATTAAAAAGTTCTAGTGATATAATAAATACTTTGATTGAGGTGTTTTCATTCAAAGATTCAATATTTACTCATTAAAACACTTTTAGCGACTTCTTCGGGACCTCGAAAAAGTTTAACTCAAAACAATCATTTTCATCCCAAGACTCCGTTTTTATGTATTAAAAAGTTCTGGTGACCAAATTAGTATCTTGATTGAGGTATTTTCATTCAAAGATTTAATTTTTACTCATTAAAACAATTCTTTATGACGTGAAAGGTAACTCAAATAAGTTAAACTCAAAACTCTCATTTTCTTTCAAAGATTCATTCTTTATACATTAAAAAGGTCTAGTGACACAATTGACACCTTGATTAAGGTATTTTCTTTCAAAGATTCAATCTTTACTCATTAAAACACTCTTCGCTACTTCTTTGGGTACTCAAATAAGTTTAACTGAAAACTCAAATTTTCTTTCAAAGATTTAATCTTTGTACATTAAAAAGGACTTGTGACATAATAGTTACCTTGATTGAGTATTTTTATTCAAAGATTCAATCTTTACTTATTAAAACACTCTACGACTTCTTAGAGAACTCAAATAAGTTTAATTCAAAACTCTCATTTTCATTCATAGATTCAATCTATATACATTAAAAAGGCCTAACAACATAATATGTACCTTGATTGAATTATTTTCATTCAAAGATTCAATCTTTAGTCATTGAAACACTTTTTGTGACGTTAAATGGAACTCGAATAAGTTTAACTCAAAACTCTTTTTTGCTTTCTAATGACATAATAGGTACCATGATTGAGGTATTTTCATTCAAATATTGAATCTTTAGTCATTAAAACACTCATCGCTACTTCTTAGGGAATTCAAATAAGTTTAACTCAAAACTCTAATTTTCTTTCAAAGATTCAATCTTTATACAATAAAAAACGTCAGGTGTCGTAATAGGTACCTTGATTGAGGTATTTTCATTCAAAAATTCAATCTTGACTCATTAAAACACTCTTTGTGATGTCAAAGGGAACATGAATAAGTTTAACTTAAAACTCTCAATTTCTTTCGAAGATTCAATCTTTATACATTAAAAAGGTCTAGTGACATAGTAGGTACCTTGATTGATGTAGTTTTATTCAAAGATTCAATCTTTACTCATTAAAACACTTTTCATAACTTCTTAGGAATTCGAATAAGTTAAACTCAAAAATCTCATTTTCTTTCAATGATTCAATCTTTATACATTAAAAAAGTCAAGTGACATAATAGGTACCTTGATTGAATTAATTTTATTCAAAAATTGAATTTTTACTCATTAAAACACTATTCGCTAGTTCTTAAGGAACTCGAATAAGTTTAACTCAAAATTCTAATTTTCTTTCAAAAATTTAATCTATATACATTAAAAAAGTCAACTGACATAATAGGTACCTTGATTGAGGTATTTTCATTCAAATATTCAATCTTTGCTTATTAAAACATTCTTTGTGATGTTAAAGGGAACACGAATAAGTTTAACTCAAAACTCTCATTTTCATTCAAAGATTCAATCTTTATACATTAAAAAGGTCTAGTGACTTTTCAGGGAACTCGAATAAGTTTAATTCAAAACGCTAATTTTTTTCAATGATTCAATCTTTATACATTAAAAAGTCAACTGACCTTATAGGTACCTTGATTGAGTTAATTTTATTCAAAGATTGAATTTTTACTCATTAAAATACTCTTCGCTACTTCTTAGGGAACTCGAATAAGTTTAACTCAAAATTCTAATTTTCTTTTAAAAATTCAATCTATATACATTAAAAAAGTTATCTGACATAATAGGTACCTTGATTGAGATATTTTCATTCAAAGATTCAATCTTTGCTTATTAAAACATTCTTTGTGACGTTAAAGGGAATACGGATAAGTTTAACTCAAAACTCTCACTTTCGTTCAAAGATTCAATCTTTATACATTAAAAAGGTCTAGTGACATAATAGGTACCTTGATTGAGGTATTTTCATTCGAAGATTCAATCTTTACCCATTAAAACACCCTTTGTGACGTCGAAGGGAACTCAAAACTCTCATTTTCTTTTAAAGATTCAATCTTTATACATTAAAAAGGTTTAGTGACGTAATTGGTACCTTGATTGATGTATTTTTATTAAAAGATTCAATATTTACTCATTAAAATACTCTTTGTGACGTCAAAGAGAACTCAAATAAGTTTAACTCAAAACTCTCATTTTCTTTTCAAGATTCGATCTTTATATAGTAAAAAGGTTTAGTAACATAATAGGTACCTTGATTGAGGTATTTTCATTCCAGGATCTTTACTCATTAAAACACTCTTTGTGACATCAAAGAGAACTCGAATAAGTTAAACTCAAAACTTTTATTTTCTTTCAAATATTTAATCTTTATACATTAAAAAGTTCTAGTGATATAATAGGTACCTTGATTGAGGTATTCAAACACTCTTCGTGACTTCTTAGTGAACTCAAATAAGTTTAACTTAAAATACTCATTTTCTTTCAAAGATTTAATCTTTATATATTAAAAAGATCTAGTGACATAATAGGTACCTTGGTTGAGATATTTTTATTTAAATATTCAATCTTTCCTATTTAAAACACTCTTTGTGATGTTAAAGGAAACTCAAATCAGTTTAACTCAAAACTCTCATTTTCTTTCAAAGATTCAATCTTTATACATTAAAAAGGTCTAGTGACATAATAGGTATCTTTATTGAGATTTTTTTATTCAAAGATTCAATATTTACTCATTAAAACACTCATTGTGATGTCAATGGGAAATCGAAAAAGTTTAACTTAAAACTCTCATTTTCTTTCAAAGATTCAATCTTTATACGTTAAAAAGATCTAGTGACATAACTGGAACCTTGATTGAGGTATTTTCATTCTAAGATTCAATCTTTACTCATTAAATCACTCTTTGTGTTGTCAAAGGGAACCCCAATAAGTTTAACTCAAAACTCTCATTTTCTTTGAAAAATTCAATCTTTATACATAAAAAAGGTCTAGTGACATAATAGGTACCTTGATTGAGGTATTTTCATTCAAAGATTCAATCTTTACATATTAAAACACTTTTTGTGACGTCAAAGGGAAGTCGAATAAGTTTAATTCAAAACACTCACTTTCGTTAAAAGATTTAATCTTTATACATTAAAAAGGTCTAGTGATGTATTAGATGCCTTGATTGAGGTATTTTCATTCAAAGATTCAATCTTTTCTCTTTATAGCATACTTTGTGACGTTGAAGGAAAATCGTATAAGTTAAACTCAAACTCACATTTTCTTTCAAAGATTCAATCTTTATATATTCAAAATTTACTAGTGACATAATAGAGACCTTGATTTAGGTATTTTCACTCAAAGATTCAATCTTTAGTCATTAAAGCACTCTTTGTGACGTCAAAGGGAATTTTTACAAGTTTAACTAAAAAATCTCATTTTCTTTCAAAGATTAAATCTTTCTACTTTAAAAAGGTTTAGTGACATAATAGGTACCTTGATTGAGGTATTTTCATTCAAAGATTCAATCTTTACTCATTAAAACACTCTTTGTGATATAGGGAACTTGTAACAACTTGGATTTTTAGGAGTTTAAATTTAATTATTATTTTATGATTTTTGGTTATTAAGATTGAGTATTTATTTAAATTGGTGATTTACCCCCATTGAAATTTAATGGGTTAATTTGGTTAGGTTGCAATTGTGTATATATATTATATACATATATATATATATATATATATGTATGTATATTATTCCTTGTATGTTGAAGTAGATGTACCTGCCACCCGTGGGTTTTAATGAGATCTGAAAGAATGGTTTTGCGGGTCCCATGGATTGATTAAGTTGATTTGCATTTGTACGTATATTTTATGTATATATATATATATATATATATATTTGCATCTGCTGAAGGAAGAAGGTGTGTGCTGTTGAGATGAGGAGTTCTTGGTGGGAAAGTGATGAAAGAGAAATTGAGAATTGGCGGGTCCCACTTATTTGATGTATTGAATTAATATTTTTGTTACATATTATATATATATATATATATATATATATAATGTCGGTGGAGAACTAGCAGCCGAGAATGTAAAGAAAAAAGGGATAAAGGAATGGTGATTGAAAGAAGATTGGAATTGGTTTTGGTGCGGGTCCCACATGTAATTTTAATGGGTTGATTTCTTTGACTTTGGTGTAGTTCATATGGGCTTTGTTTGGATAGAGATTGTGATTGTGTATGTTAAACTGATGGCTGAGGAAGATAAGGAAAATGCATGAATAAAATAAAGGTGATAATGGTGGGACCCACGGATAGATTTCTTAGCAAATTATTGTTTTGGTTTGTGTTCTCACGTGGGTTGGCTGAATGTGGTAGGATAAAAAGTGGAAATATATGATCATATATATATTCTTGTCTGATGGAAGGGAACTAGCCGAAAGTGAAAAAGAAAGGAAAGAAAAATTGTGAATAGGTGGGTCCTACTAATGTGATATTTTGGTACCAAATGTGATGATATTTGTTAGGCTGGTGTCGGCACAATTGCCTATATATTGGGTGTGTTAGTGCATTAAGTGAAGATACAAAGAAGGAAAGTTAGAGATAAATTTGAGAAACACACTGAGATAGCCGTGATGCATAGAGAGAGCCATGATGCCCACTGAGATAGCCGTGATGCATAGAGAGAGCCATGATGCACACTGAGATAGCCGTGATGCACAGAGAGAGCCATGATGGCTTTGATGTTTCATTGACGAATTGTTTTGCAAGGTAGGGCTTTTCATACCTTGAATGACCTGGATGATTTTGTTTCAATTATTTTATTGAATGATATTTTGCAAAAATTGCATATATGTATTTTGTTTAAAAGTATATGTATATTTTTGTGGAGCTAATTTTGCATGAAATTTCTTGAAATCTTTGTTATGGTTTTTCCCACTGGGATTTCCCCCATCTTACCTTTTCCAGTTTTAGGTACCGTGGATTGCTAATTGCGGGCTTAGGTGGAAGAGTTGGTGTTGAGGATTTAATTTAATTTATTTGGAGATGTTATATTTTTTTTATTTAAGGAAATTGATTTGTATTAATAACATGATATTTCTTTTTGAAATCCTGGGTGTAATACTGATATATTTTTCTTTAAATAAATCGAGGAATTTATTTAGAAAATTTGGGGTCATTACAGAACTCGAATAAGTTTAACTCAAAATACTCATTTTCTTTCAAAGATTCAATATTTATACATTAAAAAGGTCTTGTGACACAATAGGATCCTTGAATGAGATTTTTTAAATCAAAGATTCAATCTTTACTCATTAAAACACACTTCGCTACTTCTTATGGAACTTGAATAAGTTTAAATCAAAACTCTCATTTTCATTCAAAGATTCAATCTTTACTCATTAAAACACTCTTTGTGATGTCAAAGGGAACTCGAATAAGTTTAACTCAAAACACTCATTTTCTTTCAAAGATTCAATCTTTGAACATTAAAAAGATCTAGTGACACAATAGGTACCTTGATTGAGGTTTTTTAAATCAAAGATTCAATATTTACTCATTAAAACACTCTTCGCAACTTCTTACGGAACTTGAATATGTTTAAATCAAAACTCTCATTTTCTTTCAAAGATTTAAACTTTATACATTAAAAAGGTCAACTGACATAATAAGAATCTTGATTGAGATATTTTCTTCCAAAGATTTAATTTTTACTCATTAAAACACACTTCATGACGTCAAAGGGAGTTTAACTCAAAATTCTCATTTTCTTTCAAAGATTCTACCTTTATACATTATAAAAATTCTAGCGACATAATAGGCATCTTGATTGAGGTATTTTCATTCAAAGATTCAATCTTTAGTCACTAAAGCACTCTTTGTGACATCAAATGGAACTCGAATAAGTTTAACTCAAAACTCTCATTTTCATTCAAAGATTCAATCTTTATACATTAAAAAGGTCTAGTGACATAATTGGTACCTTGATTGAGGTATTTTCATTCAAAGATTCAATCTTTACTCATTAAAACACTCTTTCGGATGTCAAAGGGAACTCGAATAAGTTTAGCTCAAAACATTCATTTTATTTCAAAGATTCAATCTTTATACATTAAAAAAGTTTAGTGACATAATAGGTAATATGTGTAAATCAAAACTCTCATTTTCTTTCAAAGATTTAATTTTTACCCATTAAAACACTCTTCGGGACGTCAAAGGGAGTTTAACTCAAAACTCTCATTTTCATTCAAAGATTCAATATTTATACATTATAAAAGTCTAGTGACATAATAGATATAATGATTGAGGTATTTTCAATCAAAGATTCAATCTTTAGTCACTAAAATACTCTTTGTGACATCAAATGGAACTTGAATAAGTTTAACTCAAAATTCTCATTTTCTTTCAAAGATTCAATCTTTATATATTGAAAAAGTTTAGTGATACAATAGGTACCTTGATTGAGGTATTTTCATTCAATGATTCAGTCTTTACCCTTTAAAATACTCTTTGTGACGTCAAAGGGAACTCGAATAAGTTTAATTCAAAACTCTCATTTTCTTTCAAATATTCAATCTTTAAACATTAAAAAGGTCTAGTGACGTAATAGGTACCTTAATTGAGGTATTTTCATTAAAAGATTTAATCTTTACCTATTAAAACACTCTTTGTGATATCAAAGGGAACTCGAATAAGTTGAACTCAAAACTCTCATTTTATTTCAAAAATTCAATCTGTATATATTGAAAAGGTATAGTGATGTAATTGGTACCTTGATTGAGGTATTTTCATTAAAAGATTCAATCTTTACTCATTAAAACACTCTTTGTGACGTCAAAGAGAACTCGAATAAGTTTAACTCGAAACTCTCATTTTCTTTCAAAGATTTAATTTTTATACATTAAAAAGGTCTAGTGACATAATAGGTACCTTGATTGAGGTATTTTCATTCAAAGATTCAATCTTTACTCATTAAAACACTCTTTGTGACGTCAATGTGAATTCGAATAAGTTTAACTCAAAACTCTCATTTTCTTTCAAAGACTCAATCTTTATACATTAAAAAGGTCTAGTGACATAATAGTTAACTTGATTGAGGTATTTTCATTCAAAGATTCAATCTTTACTATTTACATCACTCTTTGTGACGTCAAAGGAACTCGAGTAATTTAACTCAAAACTCTCATTTTCTTTCAAAGATTCGATATTTAAGCGTTAAGAAGGTTTAGTGAAATAATAGGTACCTTAATTGAGGTATTTTTATTCAAAGATTTAATCTTTAGTCAGTAAAACACTATTTGTGACGTTAAATGGAACTCGAATAAGTTTAACTCGAAACTCTCATTTTCTTTCAAAGATTCAATCTTTATACATTAAAATGGTCTAGTGATATAATAGGTACCTTGATTGAGGTATTTTCGTTCAAAGATTCAATCTTTACTTATTAAAACATTCTTTGGACGTCAAAGGGATCTCGAATAAGTTTAACTCAAAACTCTCATTTTTTTTCAAATATTTAATCTTTATACATTAAAAAGGTTTAGTGACATAATAGGTACCTTGATTGAGGTACTTTCATTCAAAGATTCAATCTTTACCCTTTGAAATACTCTTTGTGATGCCAAAGGGAACTCGAATAAGTTTAACTCAAAACTCTCATTTTCTTTCAAATATTAAATCTTTATACATTAAAAAGGTCTAGTGACATAATAAGTTCCTTAATTGAGGTATTTTCATTAAAAGATTCAATCCTTACCTATTAAAACACTCTTTGTGACGTCAAAGCAACCTCAAATAATTTGACTAAAAATTCTCATTTTCTTTCAAAGATTGAATCTTTATACATTAAAAAGGTATAGTGACGTAATTGGTATCTTGATTGAGCTATTTTCATTAAAAGACTCAATCTTTACTCATTAAAACACTATTTGTGACGTCAAAAAGGACTCGAATAAGTTTAACTCGAAACTCTCATTTTCTTTCAAAGATTTAATCTTTATACAATAAAAAGGTCTAGTGACATAATAGGTACCTTGATTGAGATATTTTCATTCAAGGATTCAAACTTTACTAATTAAAACACTCTTTGTGACATCAATAGGCACTCGAACAAGTTTAACTCAAAACTCTGATTTTCTTTCAAAGACTCAATCTTTATATATTAAAAAGGTCTAGTGACTTAATAGTTAACTTGATTGAGGTATTTTCATTGAAAGATTCAATCTTTACTATTTAAAACACTCTCTGTGACGTCAAAGGAATTCGAATAAGTTTAACTCAAAACTCTCATTTTCTTTCAAAAATTCAATCTTTAAGCATTAAGAAGGTCTAGTGAAATAATAAGTACCTTGATTGAGGTATTTTCATTCAAAGATTCAATCTTTAGTCAGTAAAAAACTATTTGTGACATTAAATGGAATTCGAACAATTTTAACTCAAAACTCTCATTTTCTTTTAAAGATCCAATGTTTATAAAGAAAAAAGGTCCAGTCTCTAGATCTATAGCATCAATACACATAGACATGCATCAATAACACAAGAAATAGAGACAAACACATGAACATCTATTCTAGCATACATAGACATATGGATAGAATGAAATGATCAATTGGAAGTATTAAACCACACAAATCATTGAATAAACAAGATCTATATATATATAAATGTCAAAACATGTATCACAATACAAATCCCCTAAAAAATACATAAATTAAGATGTAGAAAGCATGTTTAAGGCTAACTCTAACCCCAAGAGGATGTCTAGCCACTCATGGATGGTGTCCTCTAACCCTCAAGGGCTAACTCCATAGTAGAGATTGCTCCTCCTCTTGGTTGATGGAAGAACTCCAAGCTTGTGTCTTTAGCCTCCTTTCTTCTTTTCTTCCTCACTAAGAATATGAAAATTATTTCTAGTGTATGTATCTAGTATATGTCAAGAATGGCTAATATTCTTTATATAAGTAGGTTAAATATCACCCCCAATAAGTTGGGCTCGTACACCAATATTCCTTCTAATGATTGGATGAGACAACTTTTAATGAGCTGGAAATTGGATTTTTTCAGGCTTTGGGAAGTTCGATCGATCGAACTTGTGGTGCGGTCGATCGAACATGGCTGAGATCTATCGAACTTAAGCTGGATTGATCCTCTATGGTGGTGCCTTTTTGGATAAAGACAAATCTGAGATAATTTGAAGATATTTTTGGGAAAGAGACAAATGTGGTAGGTAGGGTGGTACAACTAGATAACATGGAATCTTTTCGATCGATCGGAATAAAGTTAGATCGATCGAACTTTGTAGGATCTTTAGATAAGGACAAAAGAGCTTGGATCCATCTTGAAATGCTGAGATCGATAAACTTTTGATCGATCGAATATTTTCTGAGATCGATCGAACTTGGTGAATTTCCACCACTTACTTCCTTTTGCTCCCACTTTGCTTCTTTCTTTGATTCATCTCAAGATTGCTTCAATTATACTCCTATTTAGCTGAGTTAGCTTATTTTGGGGATAAGTACCTGAAAATGGAAATAATACAAAATTAATTTAAAGCGGGAAAATAAAATAGATAAAGGTTCTAGAATATCTAAGCTTAAGAGGTTTAAATGCGCACTTTTTAGCGCTCATCAATGTATTTTAACGAGCATGCAAGTGTTAGCATGCATTGTTTTGCCTTTTCAAGTTGTAATGTATAGTTAGGTTAAAAATATCATTTTTACCTTGAGACTTGTAATGTGTGCTTGAGCCCCTTTTTGACATTCATTTTATGTATATGATATGTTGTCAAGGGCCAAACTTTATTTGAAATCACATAAATATAATAAATGTAGAATTTTACCTTTAATGAAAATAATATGAAAATCAATGGTTTTAGCATGTCATTTTTGTACCGAAGTGTGCATTATGTATGAAATTTATTATTTGGCATTCATTTAATATGTATGAGGTGTGACTAAGGACCAAACACCATTTCGTTTTCATTTTTGCATTTTGGTTTCATATATTGCATTTTAGGACAATATTAAGAAAATGCGAGATTTAAGAGGTCCATTCTCAAATTGGGTGGTGCAAAGTGTGCACGAGCACATCCATTAGGACTCATTTAATATA